CTGTGGGAGGTAATCGGCAGAAGGCGGTCTCTCAAGTACCCAGGTCCAATACCATGTAGGGCTTTATAAGTAATAATATTTATAAGTAATATAAATACAAGTAATAACTTATACCTATACTTATGACCACCAAGCCATGCCTACCTATCTGGTCATTAAGGCAGAGAACTGGTTGTTAAATTATTTGAATCCTACCACTGATTAGCAGCTTATGTAAGCAAACTCTACAAATGCTGGCTTGATTATGTCAGTGATGGAACTCTTTTTCATAATTCAATAGGGTGGATTTGGATTGATAATAAAATTCTCATTATCTATCTAATCTGAAGAAATGATATTCATTTTAACAATATCTGTTCTTCCCCTTAAACACAAGGACGTTTTCCTGTATATCAATATTGGTCAATTAAGTAATATGAAATATTTAAATCAACATAAAGTGGCATTTTTTTTGCTGAGAACATGTACTCCAAAAGATATTTAGGAGAGTTCACATGATATACAAAGTCTCACTTTTTATGTATTCTCATAAATGAATGAATTAAAATATTCATGTCCCAGGATAATGTTGCAGGATCTAATCTGGGTCGGTCACCGGGACCCAAGGTTTAGTCTTCCGAGTTTTTTACTCATGCTGGAGTCCATCCTCAGGGAACTTCTCTCTCACCAGAATATTCCCATAAATCTTTAACAATTACCCTATTTCTTTGCATTAAGATTACAATATGGAAATTGCTTTTGCAGAGACACAACCAAGGGTTTGGAGAACTCGTCTGTAGCTTTGAGGGGGCTCAGATTGTGCACCCCTAATTGTTAAGAATGAAAATCCATCCAATCCCCTTACCCTGAAGCATAGCTGAAGTTGTGTAGAAGTTAAAGGGAACAGCTTGCACCATAAAATCATCCAGGTTCAGAGTATCCAGCTTATCTCCCATCAGCACTGACTTCCCAGTGCCTGCATTCCCAACTAACATCACTGGCCATTTTTTCTCCATTAGTAAGTCCATGAAGTAACGAATCCGGATGGTTTCTGTTGTGTGGACCATTGAAGCCTGCAAAACAGACCCCCTATGAAATCTACATCAATTAAAAGAACAACAACCTGAATTGTAATTTTAAAAGAAACCGAATAATGAAATAGCTTCTAAGAAAAGAAGCATTGGTAGCTAGAGAGAGCTCCCTTTGAAAATAAATGTACACACAGGATTGGCAAAACCCAGCTGTGTTTGAATAAGATATTTGTCAGAGTTTGTTGCAGCAAACACATCCAGAACGCAGGAAACTGATTCAGCAGGATTCATTAACTTCTCTTTATATATAATATAACACATGAAGTAAATATACAATACCAAAAGCAGGTTTTCCAACATGGTAGTAAATACAAGTAAAATACAGGCAGAGAAGAGAACAGTTACAGTTTCAGTTCAGAGCAGCAAAGCAGGTTTTTTTGGCTCAGCACAGACTCGGAGCTGCAGAGCTAAGCCATGCCCTGGCTCCTAGCTGTTTCAGCTCCCATTGGCTGACCTTGTTACTAAGCCTTATTCCAGCTCATGAATACTACACTGACAATATTTGAAGCAAAAATATTGCCTATATCTCTACTTCTCAGAGCTGATTTTTTAAAATTTAAATTTACATTAATTAAATAAATTAATGTAATGAAAAATATTTGTTTTTAAAAGTCAGAGGATAACTGCTCTATAAGTACAGATGATGTCGTTGCAGCCAAAGTGGAACAGTAACAACGTGTTCTCAGCCCCAGAAAAGAAAACCAGTCTTGAGTGCCAGCCCTCATATTAGCCATGTATAAAAGGAAGGGATCAGGAAGCTTGGGAAAGTTCCAAATTAGTAGAAATGCAAAAATATATCTTTAAGGCAAAACTTAAAAGCAAAAATATACCTTAAAGAGGGAAAATGCAAAAACCACCACGAGAACTGTGTATGTGTCATGGCCACAGAATGATAAAGTTGGCAAGGATGGTAGGATCGGGTCAGCCTGGAATAAGGCAGCTGGAACTCTGCACATGCTCCCACTCTCATTGCTATTGTTCAGTCACTAAGTCATGTCCAATTCTTTGCAACCCCATGGACCATAGCATTCCAGGCCTTCCCTACCCTCCACTGTCTCCCAGAGTTTGCCCAAATTCATGTTCATTGCAACAATGGCACTCTCTAGCCAATTCATCCTCTGCCGCCCCCTTTTCCTTTTGCCTCCAATCTTTCCCAACATCTGGACCTTTTCCAATGAATCCTCTCTTCTCATTTGGTGGCCAACGTATTTGAGCTTCGACTTCAGTATCCTTCCAAAGGGTAGTCAGGGATGATTTCCTCTAGTATTGACCCACTGTCATTATTCTTCTACAAATATGTGGCTTACCCACAGTAAGATGCAAACATCCACCAGGATAATTAATCCACCAGGATAATTAAACTACCGTAGCTGTGCAGGACTTCTATTTTAAATTTCATGACAACCGTATCACAACAGACATGTTTACCTTTCATTTATTCTATCTGATATATCTGATATATATATATGTAGTATTTGTGCTGATAAATAAATAAAGGGAGACTAGTATAGATCTATTTCAAGCTATTTAGCTCTCATCAGCTAGCCATACCCTTACTGGGATTCGAATCTGGGCTGTTTTACATATTAGGCAGATTTGTTAACCACTAAGCCACAGCCTCTGTCCGTTATCAGCTGATATATATATATATATATATATATATATATATATATATATATATATATATGTAGTATTTGTGCTGATAAATAAATAAAGGGAGACTAGTATAGATCTATTTCAAGCTATTTAGCTCTCATCAGCTAGCCATACCCTTACTGGGATTCGAATCTGGGCTGTTTTACATATTAGGCAGATTTGTTAACCACTAAGCCACAGCCTCTGTCCGTTATCAGCTGATATATATATATATATATATATAATTTGTTCATTTTTTAAAACCAATTTTGCTGCAGTGGTAATCGTTGTTTTGAAGGATTTAGATATAAGATGTGGGTAGATATATTGGGAACATGACAAGAATCTGGTATCTCAAATTACCAGTAGAATATAAATCAACAATCTGTATTTCTCCTGAACTTGTTTTGAGTTAGTAGATTCAGCATCTTTTGCTGATGTGAGAGTGATTTTTGTCTCAGAATACTGCAAAACAACTCTAAAACTACTCTAAAACAAGCAATATCAGAAGCAGAATTATTTCCAGCAAATTACCTGCAATGGGACATCTGGATCCAATTCAAATTGTGGCACTTTATCAGTCCATGGCATGAATTTCTTTGATTCTGGGTCAATGTAATAGTCAAAAATCGTTCCCTGAGATGGGAATTTGATTGTTTTAAATTCATTCACCCACCACTTGCTAAATTCCACACGATAATCCACAAGCTGCGGAGAAAGTTATGCATATTTATTATGGTTTTAAACTTACATTTGATTTAAATTAGAATATGTTCTAAAAACATGACTTGACCAGAGGGAATATAATAAAACATCAAAAGAAAATTTATCAAAGCTAAATGAACTTAAAAAAAAATCAAATGCAGGCATAATCTGAGTGAATGATCTGAATCAACTGCTATGATAAACAGGGTTAACTTCCCAAAACCCATTACTCCATTCATCTCAATGAGGGCCCAAATTACCACAATGCAGTAGTAATAGTGAAATATATGATTTTTCCCCCTTCAAAGATGGGCCAAAACCCCACTACTTCCATTGATTCTAAAGGACGTGTGGCCTTGAAAAGAATCCTGGTAAACAATATAACATATCAATGAAATGTTAAACCCTAAGAAGATGGAAGTGATTTTGGTATCAATTGTGTCAGTGCAGAAACCTTTGAAAAGGCCCATAGAAAAATGGACTCAACGTTGCTTATGGCGTCATTGGTCTATATTAGTGATGGCAAACCTTTTTTGCCTCGGGTGCCATAAGCATCGCGCACGCTCGTATGCTTACCCCATAATTTAATGCCCCCCACATTGTACCCCTGTGCATGTGTGCATGACCCCCACCACCACTGCGCACATCTTTCTTGGAAACTGGGGTGGCTGAAAATGGCCCCCCCCCCCCCCGAAGGCCCTCCGGAGGCCAGAAACAGCCCATTTTCCAATTTCCATGTGTGCCATAGGTTTGCCATCATGGATCTATAATGAGATAGCTCTTGAATTATAGTAATGGAAAACCTGATTGCTTCCATTTCTGAAGATACCTGATCTTGGAACATTGCTCCTCCGAAAGCCCAGAAGCAAGCAAATACAAAATAGAGTTCGTATAGCTCTTTGGGAGAATCTGGAGGTGTGTTGATTGGGGTCAAGAGGCATTCCAGTAAATAGAGAATCATTTGCACCACAGTCACTTCAGGAACAGGGGTTATCTTCTTGAATCCAAATTTCAGTTTGTCCAAACAAACGGGTAAGTATTTATCAAACAAGATCATCAGGTTAGCTTTTTCTGATTGCACTTCTCGGCGCTCAATCCAGCTGCTCACTATTCTGTCGAGTGACATAAAATTAATTATTGAATATGCATTCTCATGCATGTAACATGTACATTCTACCCATCAACTGATATTTTTTATTCTTCTCTCCCCCCCCTCTTACACTACATCTTTGTAGGAATGCCATTTAAATTACAGGGAAGATATTTAGCTGTTAAGAAAGACATCACATACTACTCAATAAATACCATCAGTGTATGATCAGTGTGTTTTGGTAATTACCTATGAAGCTAATCATTTTTGTGTAAACTACATTGCATAAACAAGTTACACCTTTTGGTAAAAATAAAGCATCAGAAGTTCCTTATTTTGGAGAACAGGTCAACATGTTTGAAAGGAAAAGGAGAAGCAAGGATTGACAATCAAACAATAGTTAATAGTTGATCTATTAGTACTTGTTCCCAATAATATCTCATCCCGCCTTCTCAATTTTATTCTAAAACCCAAATTCATTTCTCTCCCCTCTGCACAACCCAAGGGAGGGAGGGAGAAATCATAATGTCACACTCATCATGGAGGCAGACGTTGTCCTTCACAAGTGTCCTTATGCTGTCATAGCAACTATACTATATATGGAGGACCTTAACCCCATAATAATATCCAGGCACTACAGAAGGGTTCCAGGACCTAGGAAATGGGTCAAGGGAAAATTTTCTTTAATGATTACATTATCTCATGTAGCACTGTCTGTCCAAGGTTTGCTTAGGCAGGAAGTAACTTGCTGTTGGAACTAGAATAATCTGGAATAGTGCAATAATAGATTCCTGGCAACATCTTCATATGACCAGTGAGGACTGTGTTTGATCTATAATGGGATATATACATCCCACATCTAAAAATGGATGCACTGATACACTTTCAAAGGGAATCAGGACTTACGGATTCCAGCCCAGGTCAGCGGGATTGATATACAAGATTCCTGCTCGAGACACCGTGGCAGGTGTTGCTGTCCTCAGGTGACTGATTTCAAACACAAGCCTCATGGTGGGGTTTAGTGGGATTCTCTCATTGCTGGCTAAGGTCAGCACCTAGGAAGGAGGAAATCAAATCATACAATGCAACTTCCTAATTTCATAAAAGTGGATGCCAATGATTGAGTCCCTAGCTTATTGTGCTGACCTTGTTGTCATCCATCACGGTATTCAAAGATTCAATCCACATGGGATCAATATCTCCATCTAGAACAATCCATTTAGGTCCGCGGTGAGTTACATTAGCTAGATCTCGCATTATAGTTGAAAATAAGCCTGTCCAGAACAGAGAAATTCTCAATGAATTTTATAATATGCATGTATGTGCTCAAGTTGCCATAATGTTTTAGCAGAAAGAGGCACAGAGCTGATAAAAACATATATCAACATTTGCTGACCAATAAAGTTATTAAACTATTTGTGATTATCATCTCATTTACATAAATCCTCAAGCTGTAATGTGCTAGAAATTCATCATCCAGAAAACAGGGGGAAATACTATTTGGTCTTCGGCAAAGCTGACATAAACAATTTTCAAAGAGCACCTAAAGAGCCCATTTCAGTCTTACAGATGGTAAAGAATTTTGGTACAAGACAGATACTGCTGCAAAAAAGGGTTCAGTAGTGTGTTCTCAGCAGATTTGCAAATCACCAACAGTATTTGCCCTAAAGATCATAAGTGTCTAAATTGCTGACATTAGTGGAGATAATTCTTTAGGTGCTTCAAGGCTTTGTACATGAATATTAACAGCAAGGCACTTCGAACAGTAAAGCCACTATATTCTACACAGACTGGTGTTTTAAAATCATGTATTGGGGGAGCTATCACCTAGCTACTTTCTGGCCAAGGTGGCGCAGTGGTTAAATGCAGCACTGCAGGCTACTGCTAGATCAGCAGTTCAGCGGTTCAAATCTCACCGGCTCAGGGTTGACTCAGCCTTCCATCCTTCCGAGGTGGGTAAAATGAGGACCCAGATTGTTGGGGGCAATATGCTGACTCTCTGTAAACCGCTTAGAGAGGCCTGAAAGGCCTATGAAGCGGTATATAAGTCTACTGCTATTGCTATTGCTATTGGCTCTATATGGGGCTGCCCCACAAAGAGAATTAGCAACAGATATGTTAATGTATTCATATTTGCCCCTGGTAAATATGAATGGGGGCAAATTGACTCCAGATGTTCATAAACTTTTCCTTACAACAAGATTATGTATCTTTTTAAGATACTGCCAAACAAGGGATTGTGCCATTCCAAATAACTCTGCATACTTCTGATCGAGTATTTTTATCCCTGTTTGGCAGCTGAGTGAGTGTATTTCCTGGCACAACTATAATTGTTTTTCCAGGTGAATCAGTGGATCTCTGCAGAGCTGCAGCTGGGCCATTTCCTCAAGTGGGAAAACACCGGCTTTCTAAATTCTAGGCATACTCCAATTGACAGAGAGTCATCCCAAAGAAGGTGAAGCAGAAGGACTTTGGTGTCATCATTCACCACTAATTTAAATTGTGCAATAAAGAAGGAGACCGTGCTAGAGTCCTCCATTTTAGTAATTATAGAGGGAATAAAGGAAGAAATAAGCTACATTTATAAATGACACTTAGATACTTAGAATAACATAGTTGGAAGGGACCTTGGAGGTCTTCTAGTCCAACCCCCTGCTCAGGCAGGAAACCTTACACCACTTCAGACAAATGGTTATCCAACATCTTCTTAAAGACTTCCAGTGTGGGAGCATTCAGAACTTCTGGAGGCAAGCTGTTCCACTGATTAATTGTTCTCACTGTCAGGAAAGTTCTCCTCAGTTCTAAGTTGCTTCTCTCCTTGATTAGTTTCCACTCATTGCTTCTTGTCCTGCCTTCAGGTGCTTTGGTTGACTCCCTCTTCTTTGTGGCAACTCCTGAGATATTGCTATCATGTCTCCCCCAGTCCTTCTTTTCATTAAACTAGACATACCAGTTCCAGCAACCATTCTGCATATGTTTTAGCCTCCAGTCCCCTAATCATCTTTGTTGCTCTTCTCTGCACTCTTTCTACATCGTGGTGACCAAAACTGGATGCAGTATTCCAAGTGTGGCCTTACCAAGGCATTATAAAGTGGTATTAACACTTCACGTGATCTTGATTCTATCCCTCTGATTATGTAGCCTAGAACTGTGTTGGCTTTTTTGGCAGCTGCTGCACATGGCTGGCTCATATTGAAATGATTGTCCACCAGGACTCCAAGATCCCTCTCACTACTATTGAGCAAGGTACCACATATACTGTACCTGTGCATTTTGTTTTTCTTGCCTAAATACTCAGAAGTCTCCTCCTCCATTTGGGGAACAAAACTCTCTTTGCAGTCTTCTGCTCAATCCTTGTACAGAGACTACAGCTTTGCCAAAGATTCCAATCTTCTGTCCATGGGCAGTTCTCTCTATCTCTTTCCCATCTTGGACCTTGGGTAAAGATGTCATCCCTCTACAACTTAGCTTCTCTGACTGGACACCAAAAACTGCTCTATACACTGACACTAACTCTCCATATTTTCTCTCCAGCCATTGCCTTCTACAACACTCTATAGTATATTTTCTCTCCTCATTTTTCTCCACCACAATTTTCTCCTCTCTCCTTCTTCCTCTCTCCAATTTTAGGTTAGAGCAGCAGCATATCCATCCAGCAACAAATCAGGTGTGTGTCCCTCCCAGGGTTCTAGTCCCTAACCTCTCTATATAAGGCTGGACCAATGGGGTTGCTTTCTATCTGTGCCCCACAAGAGTACTGGCTGGTAGACAGTTCAGCTATCAGCCTGTGTCAGAAGTGAGCTTCTGCCATTTCGCCCAGGATCGGGCAAACCAGTAGTGGCGGTGCCGGGAGGCTCCGCCCACCCAACCAGACATTTCTGTGCAGAAGCATCGCACGAGCATGCACACAAGCGAACTGGTAGTGAAATAAATTGAAACCCATCACTGGCCTGTATAATGGAGTAGCAATAGCAATAGACTACAGCCCTCTCTAAGCAGTTTACAGCATCAGCCTATTGCCCCAACAATCTGGGTCCTCATTTTACCCACCTCGGAAGGATGGACGGCTGAGTCAACCATGAGCCTGTGGGACTCGAACTGCTGGCAGCTGGTAGTCAGCAGAAGTACTGCTTTCTAACCACTGTGCCACCACAGCCCTATGTACCTGCGCTTCCAGGCCAGAATTGAGTTTCCTTTCTCCTATTTCTCTCTCCTTTTGCTAACTCACACCAGTGTAACAGTAGTCATACCAAGTCACAAATAATAATAATAATCCATTTGCCTTTGTTTAGTAAAGAACTGGTTGGCTCATATGTCGTTTTCAAAGTGTTGAAGCTGCTTCCAATGTGATTGGTCTCAAATCATTTCGGAAATGTTTCAGAGAATTTGAACAGTAAAAGTGGTGGAAACAAAAAAAACCCTTTCTTTGAATAATTAAAATAAACCTGATAACAGTTGGCAGCTATCATATACAGTATATGCATTTGGTATCTTCCTTAGTTATAAGCTTTTTAAATGTCAAATCATTAAAGAGATTTGTCATCGGATATTCCATGGATAAAAAAATAATCCTGTTTTTTTTTTTTTTTTTGTCCTGCTTGATGTTGGCACAAATAACTGAAGTGGGGAAGAATTTATACACAGTGTAACAAAGGGTTCTTTTAAGAAAGTGATAGTATTAGAATTTTAAACAGCAGGAATGTGTTTTAAGTTCATGACTGTAGTATGTAATTTTCCCATATAAAATATATCTGAGCTTCCTAAGCAAGCCATTATTCTAAGTGAAGATAAGTGAATTGTAATTATTATTATTTTCATCAAGACTCTAATTTTGTTTAAAAAAATATAGTGCCACAATAGTAGTATTTCAGGGGAAAAAATTAAATGTCATTCTGTAAAACAAATGTATGATGTTTCTATGCACATTCATGTAACACATCTGCTATTTTATACTGTTTTCTCAGCTTTTATAGAATCACCTTTTTTGTGATCTCTGGAGTTTGTAGTTGAACAACAATTCAAATTAAAAAATGTTGTTCAGCTACAATCTCCAGAAAGTAGCTATATTGTTTCTTACCATCTTTCCATTCTCTTGTTGCTGGATTAATTATGCCAAATAGCTCATCACAAGTCACAGCTTTAGGATCAAGATCAATAGCTACAGGCTTCCTCTTCATGAGCTGATAAGTTTTATTCAGAGATTTTAATACCTGCCAGAAGGAAAAGATTGAGTGCTTTGTCCATCATGTTCACACTATTGTGTACATTCCTAATCTGGCGTTCTCCAGATATATTGGATTTCAATTTTAAACTTCTTCGAACCAGCCTACGCAAAAGATGCAGCCACTAACACACTTTTGGAAAGCCCCACAATTGGAACTCCAAAGGTATTGATTGAATTGATGGGTTCCAGCACAAGTCCGAAAGCTTGGAAGGGAAGACCTCTGGTCCTGGTGACCGACCCAGACTGGATATTGGATTGACTGGATATGTATGGTTGCCTAATTTGCAAGGAAGACTTTGGGTAGCTTACATGTAAAAATTGGGAATTAAAAGTATTATAATGTAATATGTAATCCCAGACCATAAACAAACAGGCTAACACAACAGAAATAATAATAATCAGGGAATCAACTAAGGCTCAGGTCTTGTTCAAAAGCCTTATCTCTGAGCTCATCCTGGGATCTGGTCAATGCTTGGCAAAAGAACCAAGCTTTTAGTGCCCTGTAGAAATAGAGAAGGGGAATCTAAATCAGGGGGAAATGATGTCTCGTGGGGCAGGGATATAACTCCTGATTCCCACTAAATGGGATTATTTTGTGCACCAGTTCTATCTGAGGGAATATAATCTCAACCAGGACCAAAGATGAGGAGGGTTCCCAAACCCACTCAAAGAGCTACAAAAGTCCTAACCCCATTCAATTCTGAAGCTGACCAGAAGTCCAGTTCCCTCACCATAGGGTCTCCTCCTAGCACGGCATCCTTTTTCCTCTACCTGCCCTAACTGAAAGCCCTATCAATTGTGTAGCTGACCGATAACAGGGAGCCACAGCAGAGGGATGAACGAGCCACATGCGGTTCCAGAGCCTCAGGTTGCTGACCCCTGGTTTAGCCAAAGTCCGTTGTTGTCTATCCAAATGCTCATAGCCTCTTTATATCCCACTTCCCCAAGCAAATGAGATCATTGGAACCACCAGTGTGTGATGTAGCTAACCACTTATCTGGGCTTCCTCCAGACAGCAGTGCATTCAGGCCCCTGACCTTAGGTGTAAGATCTGTCAATCACAAATATTCTGGGAGTCAGCGTGTGATGGCTGCCATGTTCTGTGAAACCAATTTTAAGCAAAACGTTTCTATTTCCAGTTGGCCCTCGGTGATGATACTGAACTCACATCTGAGTCCTTGGCTAAAAAGTCCCAAGTGGTGAAGCAGGGTTCCCACCTGTGACTTGCCAGAGCCGGCATTTCCAATCACGAACACCGAGTGTCGGACTTGCAGTAGTTCCTCCAGCTGCACCACCTTCAAAACAAAACTCTCCTCGGGTTGAAGACGGAGCTCAACAACAGCTTGTTTAATAATCTGAGGATAAGAGAAATCACAAACAGATTTGTTTCCTGATTGGGTCAGTCTTGCATGTTTTATTTATCCATCTACTGTATTCCGGGTTATTTCTATTAATCTTCATGACTGACCAAAACAAGGAGAGAGGGGGGAGGGAGGGAGAGAGGGAGAGGGAAAGAGGGAGGAAGGGAGAGTGAGAGGAAGAGGGAGTGAGTGAGAGTGAGAGTGAGAGGGAGAGGGAGAGGGAGGGAGAGAGAGAGAGAGAGAGAGAGAGAGAGAGATGGGCCAAGCAAATTCCTCTGTATCCTCTGAAGCATGGCCTGGTATCATGATTCTCCTTATAGGCCCTGTTTTTCAGTCTTATAACAAGTAAGAAGAGAGGGCAGTTTCTGAATCAAGGCTGTTCTTCTGATGACATCTTGAGTTTCCCACAGAAGAAAGTACTTGTATTTCTAACAAAAAGCATTTAGTTGCTTTCCTTAGCCCCTTGCTTGAACTTACCTTCTCAAAGTTCAGGTCACGCTTCCGGGGTACATCCAAGGCTGGGAAAAGGTCCCCAATGAGTCCCATGAATACAGGTAAGTCGTCAGTCACAATTTTAGGTATATTAAAGTCTCGCAAAGCTCTCATGAGGACCTGGTCTTCAGCCCGGCCTGGGTCTCCTCTCTTCAGGGACCCTGCCACCACTAGCACAGATTTGATAGCTCTCAACCCCCAGTCATAGTGATCCTGAGAGACAGGAAATGCCATTAGAATGCCAGGTGAATAAATAAGGCACAAAAGATCATCCACTTCCAATGAGAAAAAAGGACCGATGCTCCCCTTAGCAAAGGTATCCACTATTAATCAGAAGAAGATGGCCCTTCACAAACCTTTTAAAGTCTTTTCTCAAAGACTTTAAACCAGGGGTGGGTTCTGGCATCTTTTACTGCCGGTTTGCTTGGGGACGCGCTTCAGGTGCATGGGCAGAAATTAAAAAAATGTTTCTGTGCATATGCAGAAGCAAAAAACAAGATGGCGGCAGCTACGTGCCACCGAGAGAATCGGTTTGGGCACATGGCCCGGTCGAGTTACTACCTACTTGGCCGAACTGATCCGAACCAGTAGGAGCCCGCCTCTGCTTTAAACCAGCTTTCCCCACTGAGGTTACTATATATTTTCCTGAACCACTAATCCCATCTCCCTCATTATGCTGAACAGGGATGATAGGAATTGAAATCCAAATACGTCTGTGGTTCTCCTGGTCGGGGAAGGCTCCTGCAGGCCGTTTTGGCCTACCCAAATGAACAGGGTGCTCAGCTGCATTTATCATGGATTTATTCCAGATATTGAAATCTGTACATTCTCGCAGTATTATCAAGGGCTTTGGAAACAGCACACGGCATAATGGAGTATTGGAGATGGAATTCAGCGAATTATATTACTGTAAAATTTTCAGAAATCTCTGCCAATTCTTTCCCACCAATTCTTTTGTTTGCTTTGAAATATTTGGCGCCATAGGAGAGCTGTGGAACCACATTCAATTACCTGCTTGGAAAGTAGCTCCTTACAGAGTGTGTAGAGAGTAATAAATTTCCTGGCCAGGAGCCTCGCTTCAATAAAACCTTCAGCAACAAGCATGATTTCACAGATAAGCTCAAAATCAGGAACAACCATGGCACAGGGCCTACGAGAGGACATGAGGGAAAATGAACATGTGGAGTGCTTATACTGCACAAGCAACAGCGCATCTTTCCATTCAGTTACAGGGAGCACTCGCTGCAAGTGTCAGACACAATTCAATTTCAAGTGCCTCTATTAGAAAAAAAATCCACCTGCTGTAAAAAGATAAAACAATGATGCATACATTTTTTGGGGGTGATGTGTAATTGACAGCTTTCTCATATAATGATCTTTTATGCAAAGAAGTCATTTTGAATATACCTAGCCACATTTTCAGTATAAAGGGACTTCAGGTATACTTTGAAAGTCTATTTTAGGGCACCCAGTCCATATACTAGTTCAGGGATTTCCAGCCTTTCTTGGCTGGTGACACATTTTGCCCATAATATCATCGGGCTTCAGCTACCAGCCCTGAATGACATCTTCGCATCTCGCTGTTTGAAGAAGTTGCACAACATTCTCAGAGACTCCTCCCATCCTGCTTACAATCTTTTTGGACTGTTGCCTTGTGGCAGAAGATACAGAACAATTAAAGCTCGGACCACACGTCTTCTGAATAGTTTTTGTTCCAGAGCTATAATTTTACTTAACAATGAACTAAAGGGCCACCATCAGTGAGCTGTTGGACAGCATTACTTGGTCTGTTGTGTGGATGCTTGGGTGGTTTAGGGGCAGGGAATTTTTGGTGCGTGGAGCAGGGGTAGGTTCCTGCCAGTTCTAACCTCTTATATAGAAGAGGTTCCACAAATCTACAGTGCCGTTTAGAACCGGTTCCAGCTCCCTCCCCCTGCCCATCCACACATCATCAAGATGAAGAGCGAGAGGAGGAATTCTGGGAGTTGAAGTCCATAAGTCTTAAAGCTGTCAAGTTAGAACACCCCTGGGTTTGTTTGTTTTTCTAAAGGGTTAGGGGTGCAAGGATCTTGTAACTTGGCAGCTTTAAGACTTGCGTGCCAACATTTTGGTTGCTAAGCAAGAGCGTTGTTAAGTGAGTTTCATCACATTTTACAAGTTGGCCTCACCCACCCAGTCACATGGCCAGCAAGCCACTCCCACCTGGTCACATGGCAGGCAAGACACTCCCACAAAGCAGGCCACACCTACAGAAGAAGTTCTAAAAAAATTTGAAACCCACTACTGGTGTGGAGGGATTGTCATGTGTGCTGGGCCTGGTCTCTGGGTGTTATGTGAATTTTGTTGTATGGGTATACTGTGTATATATGTATAATGACAATAAAGTATTCAATTTGGCAATTTAAGAGCATCTCATTGAGTGCCTTCTTGAAATGGGCATTCTGGGGGACTATGTCCCATTAAAGACTGCCAAAGTAGGCAATCTTAAATATACATTTCCATGTCAAATTCAGCTCTTGCTGATTTAATAGACATGAATATGGACATGTTCTTGTAGTGGCAATATAATAGAAGTAGTTTGTCATCGTTTCTTCTGAGAGAACTCTAATTTTGCTCATATTAGTCTACAGCCCAGATATTCCTTGCAGGCCTCTCATCCAAATGCCCCAATTAGCTTCAAAGCCAAAACAAACATAGCCACCTGAGTTTCTGTATTTAATGCTTGGTCTTTCTTTTGAGCCAATTCCCCAAGTCAAACTTTTTCATTATTCAAGCCAACCTGCATTTCTTCATTTCATCAAGATATTAATACCTGAACAAAGCTTTCAGATTTTCAGGCAGTTCAGTACGACCTGCATACCCAGGATTCATGGTAATAAACATTCCAACAGTGGGAATCAGAGAGATAATCTCTCCAAGGAAATTGAATGTCTTCTTCTTGGCTCGAATAGCATCTTGAACACATTTAACCTAAACAATGAGCAGAAGATCATTTTATTGATTCACACGTGGCTGCATTTGGAAAATGAAGAGCAGTGTACAAATATTTACATATAAATGTATAACAATTCAAACTACTTGGCACTGATAATACCCAAGGCATGTTGGATAAATAATAAACCCAGGAATAACTGCACACTGAAGCTCACACATTCATTTCCCAGGACATTTTATGGCAAATTAGCCATGACTAAAATAATGCTTATGCATCTGAATAAGGCTTTTTGCAAGTTGAAAAGTACCCATTTTTAAAATGCCGCTGTAGGGTTCAGCTATAAATGGCAAATTGTTCACTGTTAAGAATGAGAAGAGAAAGCATTTCCTATGAATAGCTTCTGGACGGTTTCATGTTGTCAAATCTAATGGGCTCTATTGTGTGGTTTTGACAACATCTCACTGACTGCTTGGTTCTGGGCAGTCTCAGCACCCATCAATCCAGTGAGGAGGAATAAAGGAACTCTGGGGAACTCTCTGGGTTCTTTGAAAACAACATTCATGGCAGTCTCATAATCAACATTTGAGACAATCAGTCACATCTACAACTTGTCATAGTGCTACACTAATATTAAACTTATTTCAACGTTTTATGTGAGACAACTTGATGCTTCATGCTGGCAGTAGTAATTGCTTAATTGTAGTTAACAGTTATAGGCAGATTCCACTGTAACGATTAAAATTTTGGATATAATCCTGTTTGTAACAGAGCTACCAGATTAGGATTCCAAAAATCCAGACCAGAGGTGGGTTGCTACCGGTTCGCACTGGCAAATTGCGCATGCACCGAGCCGGCAGTAATGCCGGCAGCAACCCACCCCTGATTCAGACCATCACTAATTAGATGGCAGTCATGAAGCATATAAAGCTCCATTTGCTGTTACACAGTGGTTACCTGAAATTTGCAGTTCTGGTCTGGTAGATTTAGCTTATAGAAGCTGCAAGGGATATTATAGAAGATGGAGAAAAAGCATGCACAGAGGTTTCCTTCTGCTTTCTGGGACATTTTATCTGCAGGATTCCATTTATAGGATGTTTGGATCTGATCCATTATTCCTATAGCACTACTTTACCCATACAAATCTTTCATTGTGTGATTGCTCTGCATCATTCGCAGACTTTTACACCGAGTCCTGAACATTTTATTCCTTTGAACAGCCTCCCACTACCACTTCCATATCTTTTATCTCATCAGAACATAAAAAAGATGGACTAGCTGCCCAGCCTTTTTTTTAGCAGCTGTTGTTCTTGAAACACCCACAAGATAGACATTTAGCTGCAATCATCAAGATGAAATCACCTCCCCTGCTTCTAGTTATTTACACACAACAGTACCGGCCTCTTGTGGAAAAGATTTACCTGTACAGCAATTACTGACAGGACTTCTACTGAAATCCGATTGAACTCATCAAAACATCCCCAGGCCCCGGTTTGGGACAGCCCTTTGTAGATATTTCCACAGGACTAGAGAGAGAGAGAAAGAGAGAAAAGTTGTTCCGAATGAAGGTTTGGGTTTTCCCCCCGAGGCAAGTATTATTAAATTGCAGTTGTCTTTATTTTGTACACAGTGAAAATAATATGGGCCATGCAATATTGCGGTGTTTGTTGATGGAAATACCAGTGGAATGATGTGATATTTCAATGAACAAGCCCTATCAAGAGTTAGCAAGTAGGGGAGTGATTGGGTTTTAAGGACTAATATGGGGGAGATTTGCAAGTATTCCTAACATCCTAGGGCTGTGATGGCGAACCTGTGGTATGTGGAGCCATCTCTGAGGGCACGTGAGCCATTACCCTAGATCAGCTGCAGCACGCATGCGCACGCCAGCCAGCCAGCTGATTTTTGGCCTTCAAAGGGCCTCTGAAGCGCTGGGGGAGGACGCTTTTGCCCTCCCAGGCTTCAGGAAAACCTCCGAAGCCTGAGGAGGGCAACAAACAGTCCTACCAGGCATACCGGAAGTTCAGAAATGGACCGTTTCCAGCTTCTGGAGGGTCTCTGGGAGGGCTGGGGGAGGCTGTTTTCGCAAAATGAGATGCATTGTTTTAGAAATGAGTGCTTTGCAAGGGGGAGATACCCCAACCATCACTGATATTTGACAGGCAATTGCCCTCTTCTTAGTACTCACAAACTGCAGAAAACAGATGAGGTAATACCAAAAAGGACATTAAAAAAAAGAAACTGTTGTAAAGCACTCATGTAAAGATGAGCAGCTTGTTCTTCTTCTTTTTCTTCTTTTTTTTGGGGGGGGCTGTTTTGAGTGGTATAATTAGTGCTGCCAAATGGAAACAATGCAGATGGAAAATGGTTATTTTACTGCATGGAACTTGGGAAAAAGCCCATTGCTTTAAAGGTAACACAATCTTTGCATAACCAACAAAAATTCATGTATATTTAATTGTAGCTCTCAATGAATGGTTCTCATATACCCTTTCCTTTGGATTTCTTTTCTAAGCGATTTGCACATGACCCAAATGCGCTAAGTGCTTGTCCTTGAATCGAATCAAAGAAACGATGCAGAAGCATTCATTTAGAACAACAACAGGAGACTTTATAGGATGGAAGCTGTTCTCGTGACCCATATATTTCATTTCGCCCGCTAGATCCCTACCTTATAGTCCATTTGCTCAGAGCAGTTGAAGACATACACCATGATTCCTACAGCCCTGCCCAAGTCTTTGGTTGTCTCGGTTTTTCCTGTTCCTGCAGGGCCTGCAGGGGCTCCTCCCATGATTAAGTGGAGGGACTGGGTCAGGGTGATATAGCAACTGCAAAACACAGGGATTAGGCATGTTATCCTTTGGGCCCGACAGATCAGGCTGTGCCAGGCTCAAATTTGTGAGGGTGAGCTCGTACCGGTCAGTAAGCGGGGTGATCACCAGACGAGGAGTGTTGCCAAGGTATTCATAGGAATACTGGAGTTGAGCATCACAGATATTGGCAAAGCAGTGCCTCTTCTCTTCATCCCAACGGTGCCTAAGTTGGGACTGCCACGTAAAGGCCTGAGAGCTCTCCACCTGTCACAAAAGGAGTGCAATTTAGTTCTGACTAGGGTGTGTGAGGAGGCCCTTACTGGGGTTTACTGAGAAGCTGAGGAAGAAGGGGAATAGCTGGTGGCAATCATTATTATTAATATGAATGACTAAGGGCTTTGCTTCCTTCAATGTGTGTCTTACAGAAGAAGCAAATGAACTGAGTAGCAAGTTGGCGGAGTGGCAGCCATTTTCTCTTGGATGGAGCCAAACACTCTCAGGATGAGAGTTTTCCAGCCATTTTGTTTCATTATCAGCTTTTAATATCCCCTTTTTGCAGCTGTATCAGCTCTGTATTTGGGTAGCTTGGGGGGGGGAGCAGGAAATGAGATAGCCATGCCACGACTATCTACTAAATTAGGACTGATCCAGAGATGGATGAACGAATAATGATCTTGCTTCTTTGTATGTATGTCTTACAAAAGACATCCATTGTGCCATCAGCTGCCTGGGATTTGCAAATTGACCACCAACCTTTTATGCACATCTCATTTATGAACATCACAAGCTTCTTAAATAAAGAAGGTTTTCCTCATTATGGATGGATGATAATTCTTTTGCCTTTAGTGAAAGCTAGGTGATCTTCCACGTTCCTCCATTGTTCCATCCAGCTGGAACAATGGTTTGCAGTATTAATATTTTTAATAATGTTCTTTCTAAAGGTTAAAGATAACTCTTGGTGTTCTTTTGTCAGGTGGCTGACTATGTGAACAGGCAAAAACCTTTCATACACTGACTTTCCAAGTGTGTATTTTCCAATCATGTAAGTTAATGCAACCAAGTGGAACCACCTGTTCAGGATTTCTCATGCCATAGCACCGTGATGGCGAACCTATGGCATGCGTGCCACAGGTGGCACACAGAGCCTTCTGTGGATATGTCTGCTGTTGCCAGCTACTCTTCTGGTTTCCAGCCAGTTGGTCTTTGTGGGTGCTGGAGCAACAGCCTGAAAATGTCCCCCAAAATGCCCCCAAAACAGGCTGTTTTTTGGGTCATTTTCAGGTCATTTTTCAAGCCCAAAATGGCCTGAAAACAATCCAAAAAACAGGCATGAGTGTGCCAAGCAGCTGGTCTTAGGGTTTCCAGTGCTCCGTTGCATGCGAAGACCAGCTGGCTGGCACACATGCACATGCCAGAAACCCGAAGACCAGTTGGCTGGCTTGCACATTCTCACAGGCCAGCTGATCTTTGTGTTTCTGGCACTCGGGCACACACATATCCACACATATACACACATGTTCTGGTTTGGGCGCTTTGTGCTGAAAAAAGTTTGCCATCACTGCCATAGCAGATCTTTTTGCCCTTAGTAAATAAGGGAGAAGGTTTCATGCTATTGCCAATACAATAACCGGATCTCTCGGAGATCCGATTATTGAAGTTTTATAGTCAAATTCCCAAACTTTTGACCTCTCAAAGACACACTAAGAGAGAAAGACTTCATTTTATATTTGGAACAGTCACAATTGTCCTACACATTTTTTTCATGATTGTTCATGAAAAATTGTTCTGCCTTGGAGCAGACTGAGTTCTGGGGCATCTGCTAACTCAAACAATTTGTAGTGTTATGAATGGCCCAACCTCTTTGCTCATTCATTTTTCCACGGTGGATACATCAAATTACAATCCTGAAATCTCCTAGACATGTTCAATGGGGGTTATAAAAAGTGTGCTCCACTGTATCTGAAGTGCCCCAGGCTGGAGGAGGCTGACTCTTGCAATTCATCTTTCAACCTGAAATTAAGAAATTTCAGGACGAACAAACAGAACAAAAGGTTTGCTCAAACATGCCCAAGAACAAAATACTGCACAGTTTTTTGTTCACAATATACCTTTGCTAAAATCATTTTGGCAATGACGTCCCTGGCATGCACATCAATAGTACAAATGGTCATAATCTTCATTCTGTCCCCTGGAGATAAGCTCCCAATCAGCAGCGTAATTAAGGTGTTCAACTGGTTAATCTGTGAAGAGGAAAACCAAAGAGATGAAAGGGTTTTCTGATCTCTTTCAGAATGAGCTGTGGAAACTTGTTTGATATAAGTGTATATACACACACACCAGTGGTGGGTTTCAAATTTTTTTAGAACCTCTTCTGTAGGTGTGGCCTGCTTTGTGGGAGTGGCTTGCTGGCCATGTGACCGGGTGGGAGTGGCTTGCCAGCCATGTGACTGGGGTGTGTGGCCAACTTGTAAAATGTGGTGAAACTCACTTAACAACGCACTTGCTTAGCAACCAAAATGTTGGCTCAGAAACTCTGGCATTTGAACCACGCAAGTCTTAAAGCTGTCAAGTTACAAGACCCTTGCACCCCTAACTCTTTAGAAAACTGGCAGAAACCCACCCCTGACACAGATGCACACACAAACGCACTCATGTTCTATCATTGCCCGCACCAATGTTTTAAAGTAAGGTGAACTGAGAGACCTCCTATTCACCTGCTTTTTATTGTAATCTTTAATTGCATTTTCATAGCCTTCTTCCAGTCGTGAAAAGGCAATGCCAACTTCCGTAGTCCACCAGATCTGGGTACATGTTAAAGCAATCTGTCATAGACAAAAACAAATTATGAAATGTTTCAGTCCTGTGAATCATCTACAAACATTGCCCTTGTGGAGGTATGAGTAGTCAGATCTGAAGCTTAAACTTACAAAAAAAAAGGCTTCTTCTGTCTACCTTTGTATTTTGCTACAATTTCAGCCACTCTGGAGTAGTGGCTGAGATGTTGAGCTAGAAATCAGGACTGTGATTTTGGGCTGGAAGTTCCTTAGACCTGAAAGTTCATGGGTGATTTTGGGCCAGTCCCTCTCTCTTAGCCCAAGTCAACTCACTCACAGAGTTGTTGTGGGGAAAACAGGAGATGGAAGAATTAGGTGTGTATGCTGCCTAAAGAGGACCAAAAATTTAGATGGAATAAAAATAAATGAACTTGGTTCATTTGGTTCCTGCCTCTTTTTTGTTTGAATCACAGTGGTTTTTGCTTACCTGGGCTGGGTAATCAAATATCCATTGTTCTCTTGGCTTTTCCTCATATGTCACTACAGCTTCAGCTATTAGCTGGCGCAAGGTGCTCTGCATTCTCACCATCACTCGGTTTAACCAAACTTCAACCTGGATGTAGACTTTTCAAGTTAGTTTTGTGCATGTTTTAGTGCCTTGAAATACATCCTCCTAAATGTCTGTATTCTAGCTTTCTTTCTTCACCGGATTGTATTACAAAATACAGGTGTAATTTTTACTCATTTGTATCCTCTACCCTATTTGCAGAATGGTGGAGTGATGATTATGAGAACACAAAAATCAGTATACTACTGTAAGGTTGTTGCATTTTGCTATAGCTAAAAAAAGTAATTTTTGTTAGCTATCCTGATCTTATCCTATACTAGAATTTATCAGGCTCCTCCATGAATTGACAAGATAGCTCCTGTTGATATGATTTACTAATAAAATTAAAAAGGCTGAAATTGTTGATCATCTAATAGAATTTCCTCTAACTCGGCATCTACTCTTGTCTGGAAAAAGTGTAACTATTTTTTGAGGGACTGATGAGATAAATTGAGAATCAGTTAGTTTTGGTTAAACTTGTGGAAAACATAGTTGTATAACCAAACCTATAGTAGAAAAATTACTGCTGAAGAGCTAGCATGGCAGCCATAATGTTAGCCTTCTACATTTTTTGAGAGTGACTTTGCAAATGTGAGTAAAAATGATCTAAATGAAGGTGTATATTTGGATTTTCAGGAAGCTCCTCACTAAAACCTTAGAAATAAACTCAGCTGTCATTAATGTCACTGATTAATAATTAGAGAACAAAAAGCAGGGATTAAGAATAAATTGATTTTTTAAAAAACAAATAAATGTAGTTTTTACACCAAAGGTCTTTTAAACTTTACAACTGATCTGGAGTTAGAGGTGCCACATTTGCTGATGACATCCAGCTATTAAAGCATACAATGGAAAAGAAATAATGAAAATTTAGCATCACTCGGAGGAAATTTCTGCTAGCAGACGTCCTGTTACTATAAATCACCTAGTGTTCCTTGCTTTTGTGTTGAACTGTTCTTTCATGACATGTCCCAGACAGCAGGATTTTATTATTATTATTACTTTGGTTTTTTATTTTATATTGCTTATACATATCAATGCGTGAACAGTTTGATAGATACCTGGGTATCATACATTTTAGTACACATAAACTTAATATTATTACTCATAGCAGGGATGGGTTCCGGCAGTCGCTACTGCTGGTTTGCTCATGGCCAGGTGGCGTGTGCTTGATGCACGCTGCGTGTGCATTTGCAGTACAACAAAAATTGCTCTGTGCATGCGCAGAAGCACAAAACAAGATGGCGGCGCCTATGACGCACCTATGGTGTTGCCGGGAGAACTGGTTTAGGGGCGTGGCAGACCTGGGTCACTGCCACTTCCAGTGAACCCAAGCTGCCAAACCACTACCGGTTCAGGTGAACCGATCCAAACTGGTAGGAACCCACCACTGACTCATAGTTATTACATTTCATTTTCATTTCATATTGGTTAAACATATCTAATACTACTGCCCTTCAATTTCTAAACCTCCCTCTTTTTATTACATGTATCTTGTTATGTTAAAATATATGTATTGTTGTTCCCCTCTTATTTATATTTCTATTCTAACTTTTATTCATGTCACTGTTGTATTCAAAAATGTTTCTTTTCGATCTTCCATTTTTCACCTGATTTATTATTCATATATCACTTATTTAACTCTTCACATCTGTATATATTAAAGTTCCATCCTTCATTCTTTCATTGTTCAGTGTTTCAACATACAATTCTAATATCAATCACAATATCATTTAAACATATAGGGTAGATCTATTCATATTCCTTCCATTCTTCCATTTATCATTTTTCAAAGGGTACAGCCTTACCTCCCAGCAACTGCAGTGTGAAGCCACTTCCATCACTATTTTCAAAGGATATATACTTTCAGGCTTTCTCCTTCAGCTCAGGGTAGAGCAGCTTATATTCAGTTTTAGCTATTCTGGTGTTAAAGGAGTGTTTTCCCTTTCTTCCAGCATGAGCTTTGCCATAAAAATAATTTACCATGATGTGTCATTATGATGATGGTGAGAAGAGGTTAGGTCTGCTCAATCCTTGCTGGCCACTGAAGATATTGCAGACATAGTACCTCTTCATGGCCTCCATGGGTATTTTTACTTTGGCTGGAAGAGACACTCAGTTCTTGGCTTTTGCAAGGGAATGTGCCTATATAATGTCCAACCAGTGTTTCAGGAAGCATAATTCAAAAATTATGTGGGTACCCTATATATACAGGTGTTGGTCCCTTCTGGAAGAACAGTAGACTTACCTATTAAAAAATGGACTAAGCTTAAAAAACAGGAGATAGAGCCTGATTTTGCCAATTGAATGTTGCTGATTCTGCAACCAATGGTTTGTCACGTCTGCCTATAACAGGGGGGTTTGTCTGGCCATATTTCTCAGTATCATAATTATTTTGGCAATGAAGGATGTAATTTTGCTGGTTGTCATTCATTGTTAGCTATTCCCTGGCAGCACTATTTTATTTGGGATTTATGACAGCAGGGTTGAGATAGCAAGCAAGAGTTCTCCCATTTTATCCCAGATTTTAAAAAAACCAACCAGATTGTAGGTGCAGCAGAGAGGTGGGAATCAAGGAGGAGCACAGGCTTAGCATTCTTCCAGAAAAGTGCTAGATATCTGTTCAGAGATAGTGGGTGACACCACTATGGAAGTTATGTGAGGGCCAGTAACCTGCCAAGGTAGCAACTTGAATTAACCAAGCTGCTGGTAAAAACTGTAATTAGTGATGATTCCCCCCCCCCATCAGCAGGTAATGCTATGAGAGGAAAATTATTCAGGGGAGTCCACCCTTCAGTGCTTTTCAAGCGCCCCACATTGAGAAGGTAAGGTCAATATGCTCAGTAGCCTAATCCAGTTGTGAAATTCAAATTTTTAACTACCAGTTCTGTGGGTGTGGCTTGGTGGTGGGGTCCTGTGACTGACTGGGTGTGGCGAATTCATGTCACTTATGACCATGCCCACTCAGTCACATGCCCCCACCATCACCAAGCCACGCCCACAGAACCCAGTAGGGGAAAATGTGTCTATGAGTCCATTCACAGAGAAGATGCAGTTGAAGTACCTTAAAGGGACAGGCTGCAGCAGCTCTGCTGTGAATGGAGTAAGAAACGTTCGGATTGGGTGGGTGGGTCGAGCAGCCGGAAGAGGTGAGTGGTGACAGGGAGACCAGGTGGCAGGGTCACCAGGAATTTTTGCCACCCGTTTGGAGAACTGATACCAATCGTCCCTGCTGGTTCAGCCGAACCAGGCTGAACCAAGAGGATTTCACCCCTGGCCTAATCCTTGAGCAGAACATTGTCCTGGAGTGGAATTGGCACTGTGATATTTTTCTGCCGACTTAAGGTCCACAGGAATACTGCATTTAAAGTGATTTATAACTAACCTGTCCAGAGCAGTCGCACTCCTTGTCAAAATCAACATACTCATCTTCTTTGCTGTACATTCCCAAGCCAATCTTCAGAGGCTGTCCTTCTGCATCTAGCTTGAATTTCAGCTTTGCCATGCTATCAAATAATTTGGACAAATGGCGGGACACCTTCAAGAATTACAACACAAAAGACCAGACAATAGTATTAGAGGTCTGATGAAGACATTGGCAGGTCTTTAAAGTGATCATCACTGTTGAAAGCTTGAAGTAAGCATGCACTGATCAATTGAACAAAAGTGTCTAATTTGAAAACGCCAGTCAAATCTGTGTAAGTGAGCCATTTATGTATTTTCTTCTCTCAGTGTTTGATCCCATGAGGGAGGTCTTTTTATCAGCTGTTAAGTGAGACCCTCTTTTAAGGTGGATTATCAAAATTTAAACCATAGGCTTCACTGAACTACAACCCCTTTCCTTAATTGTTATCAAGTCAAAGAAATTCTGTTCAGTTTCTATTAGTCTGTGATGTTTGTATTGGATACATCAACTTTTATGTGGGAAAGAACTTAGTCAAACTCCTGACATTCTATTACATATTCCATTATAAGTTTCCCCCCCCCCCCACACACACACTCAAGACATTCCATCGTACCTCAACAGGGTCGTTACCATTGGACAAAATATCCAGCAGGTCAGCAGAGGATACAAAATAAAATCGAGGGAAAGCCAGTCTCTTGGTTTCCAAATATTCAGCCAGAGCTTTTTCACAGAGTGCCAAACTAAAAAGCAAGCGAGAGGAAAGTAGTAACACCCCTCTTTTTGCCCTCTCTAAGTAATTATCCTTATTCAACACTATTGTTGTACATTGATTTAGACCAGTGGTGGGATTCGATTTTTTTTACTACCGGTTCTGTAGGTGTGGCTTGGTGGGTGTGGCAGGTGAAGGATACTGTAAATTCTCCCATTCCCTCCCCACTCTAGGGGAAGGTTACTGCAAAATCTTCCCACTCCAGGGGAAAGTTACTGCAAAATCCCCATTTCCTCCCGATCAGCTGGGACTTGAAATGTGCATGCATATCTCACCAGCCTCAGGTAAGACGGATGGTGTAGAAATTTAATAAATAAAATAAATAAATTATAGGAATAATACCTAACTTAGAAGCAAAAGGTTACTTGCAAATATGCCCCAAATGTCATATCAGAGGTTGTGATAAACTTGGTGCTTGGGTTATTCTCTGCATATTATCTACTATTGTTCAGTTTAAAGAAATAATGAAATAATCTTCATTGCCTTCACTGCCAACACTTCTAGTTTGAGACAGTACACTGGTACAACTACTGAAATACATGATCCATAGCCACTGAAACATAACTCTCCCTAGTTATTATTGTGAGAGACAATTATTTCCAAACCAAGGCCAGGCAGAAAACGCTTCTGTCTCCAAGCTCTAGCTGAAGAATTTTAGTTATTCAGAGTGGGGGACCTAGCACCATTTATAGTTGGCATTTAAAAAAATAAAAATTATAAATAGAAATTGGCACTGACGAAATGGTGCTTTTTTTTTTTTTTGCTAAAACGTGGACTTGCAAGAACTGTCACCCTATGACTGTGATGGCGAACCTATAGCATGTGTGCCACAGGCGGCACACAGAACCCTCTCTGCGGGCACACCAGCCGTCAGCCCAGCCCAGCTCCACCATGGAAGCGTGCGTGCCTCCCACCGGCCAGCTGGTCTTCTGGTTTCTGCTGCGCATGCACGGGGTGGGGGGTGGGGTACGTGCAGGGGGGGGCGCATTGCATTTTAGGGTTTGTGTACAACCCATTTTGGGCCTGAAAGGCCTCCTGCACCAACCTGGAAGCCAAAATTGGGCGGGGGGCATGGGGGTGTGGTGTGTATGCAGGTGGGGCATGGCGCCTGCATTTGGATCGCTCGCATTGTATTTTGGGGTTACGCGTGCGTGGTTTGGGAATCGGGACCAAAAGGGTTAGCCATCACTGCCCTATGACTTGCTTCTGCTGCAAAAAAAAATTCATTCTGTCTCTACTCTATTTTACATTTGCATTTTGACAAAATTAGCCTTCTGACCTTTGCTGCAAGCTCTCTAGCTTGTCATAGAGACCTGGTTTATTTGTTGCCTCAACCACATTGGGAGTTTTTACTGCATCTGCCATTAATATCTTTAAAGAGAAGAAAAATTTATCAGCCATTCAAGTAGTATTTTTTGCAATAGTAACATCACAGAATCAGTGCTTAAGAGGAAGTCTGCTTACTTTGAATTCTTTGTCAATGATATCAAAACGCTTTGAATCCTCAGGCAGCTGATTTCGAATGTCCTCTGAGCCAATGAAGATGCTCTCCAGGTGACTCCATGTTCTCTGGACTTCAAACCAAATGGCTATCACAGAGTCAGCAGTGGATAATTTCTGCTGCCAGCCGGAGACCTCCTGTAGGAAGTGGGACAGATACTTCGAAGTCATCAGAGTCTGGAGCTGCACTTGGTTCTCTTCAAGGGTTTCTACTAGTGCTTCGTCTGCCTTCAGCATCATTGTTCCCGTCCTGTGGTGAGGCTCATGTTCAAACTGCATGGTTGACCAGGTACTGTCAAGAGCCTTCAGCACCTTTAAGACAATAATAAAAGGGGAGAAACATTTTAAAAATTGAGGTATTGCAAATGCAGGTGGATTTCTTCCATTTTGCTAAAGCAAACCAAAGCAAGGCAACAATGTGAGAGAACCCACTCCTCCGTTGCTTGGTGTTATCCTAATCTGTTGAATTTACATATTCATAACACGTCAACGACCTTGGCCCAAAGCTATGCCTGCTGGAATCATGAGAACTGAAGCCAATGGGATTCTTTATACACCATTTTCTTATTCGTGAATAAGGGATTTTAGAAAGGAGGACAAATATTAAAGAAGGCAGCACCATTCCTGGTCACAGTTGTGTATTATACCAGCTAATGAGGCAAACACAGCAACTGTTCCAGATTTTACACAGCAGGGTTAAAGATTCGCTTGAACTTATTTTATATGTTGTATACTCTATGTTCCAGAACAGTTCCCAGATAAAAGAACAAACAAAGCGATAACGCACAACAAATTACTCTGAGTAAAGCCAGCATGGAAACAGCCATTACAATCAGTAATGATGGCAAACTTCAAAGCTCTGCAAAGAATAAATATGTGTCTCCTTGGTGCCAAAAGGACAAGAAAACACAATGTCATTAATGGCTTTGCTAGGAGAGGGTTCCATCCGTGGGAAGAAGGACCCCTCCGCTAGTCATCCTTTCACCCAGAGAAAAGCTTCCATTTATGAGCTGAAGACAAATTGATGTGCAGCAGAGAATCCTTCTGATCCCAAAATATGTAAGGCTTTGAATGTTGCTCAGAAAAAATTAGTGGGCTCCTGTGTACGATTTCAAACTAATTCCAATCTGATCGAATTATCCCATCTACTTTGAAATGGCCTTTGAAAAAAACCACTGCGGTCTTACTACCCTGTTTCCCCAAAAATAAGACCTCCCCGGATAATAAGCCTAATCGGGCTTTTGTGCACATGTGCTAAAATAATCCCTCCCCTGAAAATAAGCCCTCCCCTAAAATATTTAAATGCATGCACAGCCAGTCCCCACCATTTCAAAGTAGATGGGATAATTCGATCAGATTGGAATTAGTTTGAAATCGTACACAGGAGCCCACTAATTTTTTCTGAGCAACATTCAAAGCCTTACATATTTTGG